TCAAGAACTACAAGTGCAAAAAGGTAAAACTTACAATACATATGTACCCCCCCCCCAACATTATTATTGAGTCTGCGGGGATACTTTGATATAGATTCTGCTAGCCCGCAGCGTCTGTGCATCATCTTGACATGGTAAATGAAATTCCTGTAGCCCACCGGTCTGAAGTAATGAATTGTTCCCCCACTTAATTGTATTGCTTCGGTAACAAGGAACTGTGCTAGGCCTAGAGATCACAATAAGTGGATTTCACCAGATGATTTGTGTGACGTTTTGAAAAAACGATCCTCTGGAGTAGCCTGCTTTTAATGGGACTCTAACGGCGCCAGCATGAGCCACTAGGCATGCAGCAGCCTACTGGGGGGTGGGGGGGGGTCTTCCTCCTATGGCGTGGGGACTGTGGGGTCATCACCAGATAACCGCGCACCGGAAACAGTTCCCGGGGAAATATAAACCAGGAGAAAGCTTTTGCCTCAGACCGCAATACAGAGAACTTACTACTAAGTTGCTTTTATTTCATGGATGCATATTTCTTTAATCCAGGAAAGATCTCAAGCTACCACTCTATTTATCTCTTCATCATCAGTGTGAAAGCAAACCAAATAACAACAAAGGCCGGCTATTCCAAACTTGCTATATATAACAAGGGAGTCAACCATAGCTTGCTTGTGTTTTGGCAGAGACTTAAAGAGAGGTGAATGTGTGGGAACTCTTCAGAAGGGGAAAGGTGGAAGGCCCGAGTGTGCCCAGGCTACTGGCCTGGGGAAGCAGGAGGCAGGCTCAGGAGAAGCAGGGCATCCTATGTGGTTGTTAGGGGAGCATATTTTCTCTTCTCTGATTGGTCCTAAGGTAGAAGCAGGGACAAAACTCACAGAATCTGTCGGTTATTAATCAAGTCCTGGGTATTTGGGGCCCATGGCTACAGGGATAATCATTTGACTTCAAAATTATTAGAGATAGCGGACTGACTTGCTACAAGTCAGCCGTGGCAGGTCGGTTTCCGTGCGGGTTATGGTAGATGGGGGTTGGTTTCCAGGGCAGGTTGTGTAGCTGTGGACCAGGGTTCTGATTTATACGTGGTCTGGCCATCGCCTATGTGTATATTCAGTCTCTCACCAGCATATAAATATTACATGTGGGGAAGGTCAGGTATTATTATCGTTCTTGAAAGAGCCACTGACTTGGTTTTTCTTTTTAACAATTAAGAAACTCAGATTCCCTACAATAAAGTATGCTGAAGGGAATGAATAGAAGTTGCTTTAATTTTTCTTTTTTAATGAGTCTTCCACACACTAGGCCATTAGGAATCCAGGGGCCTTATCTCTCGTTTACTCTTGTGTCTAGGCCCTCTTGTAGGCGAAGGAGGACCTAGAGATTTGTGGGTGGTGCTTGTTGTTTAAAGTTCCCCAAGTATTACAATATGAAGAAATGCAAGCATAATAATAAAAATCTTGCACCCAACAATTTAACACTTAAGTGTTGGGGTCCAACCCCAGCAGGTCTGGGGGTTCCCAAAGGTGTGGACGGAGTCAGTGAAGAATGATTTACACGGAGACAGATTCTCCATGGATCTTCCCTGTGCCTGGCTGAGGCCACAGAGAGAGATACAGAGGCAAGCTGAGCCTTTACTTTATAGCCAGAGGTAAACAAGGTAGTGGTCACC